GTATCAATGTCAGTTAACTTCAATGAGATGTGTTCTTGGATAGGGGGGATAAAACGGAGATTGAGAATTATAGCTACTGGAACATGATCCGATGCTATATTATCTGTGGCAACTTTGCACGCTAAGATTTTGTCTGTAATGTTCCAGCTGGTCCATATTAGATCGATAGTTGTGGGTTTTGTTCCTGAAGAGAACCTGGTAGGAACACCTCTAGGCGAGGCAAGTTTCAGACCTTTTGATCCACAGAGATGTAGGAGTTTTTTAGCTTGGGCGTCAGTCTTGTTGTAGCCTGGGGGATTCCAATAGGAGTGGTGTAGGTTGGAATCAGTCGTGATGATGGAGGGAAGCCGTCGATCGTAATGGAGTCAAAGCCATCTTTCTAGAAAGGCGAATCCTCTAAGTGAGTTCGGGGGATTGTACCAGGAAATGATACGTAGTTGAGGGATTTGGGAGTCTGGGTTTTTAATGTCTACAGCAAGGATTATATCGGATAAGCTTGGGAGGACTGAGATTTGTGATGATCTGATTAATTTTGAAATATACATTATCACTCTGGGTCTTTCTTCCCAGGTGGTTGCTCGGTAGTCGTATGCTGAAATTAGGTGCCAAGCTTCATGTGTCGGAAAGGAGCAATTGAGTGAATTGAACCACGGTTCTTGTAGGGCGAGGACTGAGTATTGGGTTTGATTGAGGGCTTCTAAGGTGGTATGCTGGGATTTATTACAGTTGAAGTGAAGGATGGAAAAATTTTCGAGTTGAGTAGTTAGTTCTGGTGAATCAAAGTCTTGTGATGGATCTAGTTCATCCATTGGCACTGGGTTTGGGGTTTCTATTGGGCTATTATGACTCATCTTCGGTTATGATAGGGTTGCTAATCTGAAATTGAGTATTCCTTAACGGGCAGTTAAGGCTCTTGGGGGAGTGGGCATACTTAGGAAGGAATCTGTCGATCTTTGAGTTAGTTCTTTGCGCTTCAAAACTTACACATCTCGCACAGTTTTGGCTGACATCATTGTTAGCGCAGTCTTTAGAGTTGTGGGCGTCTCCACATTTAACACAGTGAGCAGTGAATTTGCATGAAGAGTGAGTATGATTTAAATCTAGACAATTGAAACACATGGTAGGGCCTTGTACATATAATTTGCTTTTGAGTCTATTACCGTCAAAACATAAACCGCCTTTTACAATTTTATTTGCTAGTATCTTGTCGACTAGGTTGATTACAATTGTACCGTGTTTTTTCCCCGTATCCGCTGGGCTCTTGATCCAACGAGCTGAGTGCAGAGTGTTGAGGGGGATTCCGTTTTGTTCACTAATTTTGATGAGGAAGTCAGAGTCTTGTACGTTGATATCAGCTGGTACGTAGTTGAAGAGGATCGGGTAGCGTGCTTGAGTGGTTTCGAAATCTTTATGGGCGATTTTCGTCCATTTGTGCTTGTTTTCTAGGAGCCATTGTTTCATCATTCTATTGGCCATGGTCATGAGAACATCGCCTGATTTCAAGAGAGCTGCTGTTTTGATTCTAACTGGTGTGTCGTTGATCTTAGCGTCTAGGGATTCTAAAGCCGAGTTAATCTTTTGAACTATGGACAAGTTTGAGCAATTCTTGAAAGGTTCGGAGTTATGGGTTTTATGTATGATTAAGGTAGCAACTTTGAATTCGTTTATTTCCGAGTTTTTTGGGGGGGGTTTTGGTGCCTGAACGGTTTTTGTTGTAGGCTTTGGGTAAGGGTTCTTCCAAACGTTAGGTTTATCCATTAACGGTTTGGGAATGTGGGCAGTAGTCGTATGATCGGAGGGTCGCTCCTTGAGTTGGCGGATTTCCTCTTGTAATAGTTTGATCGTGTTATTGAGTTCTTTTATCGTGTTTTCCATACCTGACATCATTCTGAGCATGATTTGGTATAGATCGTCGTTTGTCTGAGAGCGTGAGGAGTGTTCCGTGGAAGGTGGTCTCAAATCGATCATCATGGAATCCGCTTCGTTCGATCGGGTTCTATTCGGATTTTTTGGGGGGGGTTTGGGTCGCCATCACCGTTATCCGGCGGACGTTTTGGGGGCATAGTAGGAGGTTGGTCGATTGATATGATGATTGATGGTGTTGTGTAGCCTGAGACTTGATGGGTCATCCGGTACCCGGGTGTACTTAACTCAAGCGAGCAACTTAAGCTATGTCCGATTGTACTAAACTGTGCCCGGCCCAAGTGACGGTACCGCAAGTGTGAAAGTAAGAAGTCTTTTTTTTTGTCTCTTGACGCTCTTGAGCTAACTTGACGAAAATGAATCAACAAGGACGAGAATTTGCAAAACTCTTCGCACAGCAAGTCAAGAACTTGGGACAGGCCAGTGGTCGAACTGGTCATGGGTCTGGAGGTGGAAATTTTGGAGGTGGACCATCAGGGATCGGAAAAGCATTGGGCGGTGCAGGTGGATTGATGTTACTGGGAGGTGCTGCTTTGACCCTGAATTCGGCTTTGTTCAATGGTATGTCTGTCCTTTCGTAAGAAATGAATGTTTTCAAATGCTGAAAAATTGTACCGATCTAGTCGATGGTGGGCATCGGGCGATTAAATATACTAGACTTCATGGGGTTAGGCCGGATGTATATAACGAAGGAACTCATTTTGTGGCAAGTGGCAATAGATACTAAAGCATGATTCAGGAAACATTCAATTCTCAAGCTTTAGAAGGTTCGTTTTGGTTCTATAGATTCCATGGTTCGAAACTCCGATCGTGTATGATGTCCGCGCCAAACCTAGAACGATTGCTTCTCTGACCGGTACTAAAGGTGTGTGGGCTTTTTGGCTTGAATCTCGATCAGTCAGAATCACTGATGTTCGGGATTCGCCTTAGATTTACAAATGGTCAACATCACCTGCAGAGTTTTATCACGGCCGAATATCGAATCACTGTCAACCATTTATCGTGAGCTTGGGACTGATTACGACGAGCGAGTTTTACCCAGTATTGTGTAAATCAGTAAATTATTACACCTGTATACGATAGCGACCTACTGATCAAAATCTTACCTGCATGAATGATGAACGCAGAAACGAAGTTTTAAAATCGGTGGTCGCCCAATTCAATGCCTCTCAGCTGATCGGTCAGAGAGAGATGGTCTCTCGACTCGTACGAGAAAATCTGACCCGTCGAGCATCAAGATTCAATTTGGTCCTCGATGACGTTTCTATCACCCATGTTACCTTTTCTCCTGCTTTTAGTGAAGCGGTTGAAAGTAAACAAATCGCTCAACAAACTGCACAACGTGCTGCCTTCTTGGTAGATCAAGCCATTCAAGAAAAACAAGCTACCAAGATTCGTGCTCAAGGTGAAGCTCGAAGTGCAGAACTGATTGGTGAAGCTGTCAAGCAAAACCGAGGTAGGTCCGATCACATTCATGTAACATTGGATTATTACTGACTTGCATGTATTACTTTCTTGGACCTTTCCAGGTTTCCTTCAGCTTCGACGTCTTGAGGCTGCTCGCGATATCGCCACGGTAGTTGCGGGAAGCGGTAACAAGGTCATACTAGATTCGGACACCCTGATGCTGAACGGTAAGCCTCATTGACACTACTTGAGCCGTCAGTGGTGGTATTGATTATTGACTTTTGTTGCCTCATCAGTGAACGATGAGTCCTTGAGTCGACAGAAAAAATGAATGTTATCATTCAACTCTAAAATGCTTTCAAATTGCACACTCACTTTAGTGGCTACAAATACAGATGAGTCAAAGTTATCCACCAGGCAAATCCCGATGACTCCAACAAAAAAACCCCTACTTTTTCCTTGAGGTCTGGATCCGAATTCACACTGTCTTCCATGTACCATGCGGGTTGTGATAACTTCTATTGAGATACCTAGTTATTGAAATATTGTCCCTATTAGTAAATGGGGTCTTCTTGTGACATTGGCATCTACTTGCAGATGCCGTTGAACTGGAAAGATATACGTGCCAACAAAAATCACTTTGACTGACGTCGCAATATTTGCTTAACACAAGTCCCGGAAGCCGGAAGGGATGAGACTAGAGTCTAGCCTGTGGTGTTGCTCAAGTTAGACATATCTGTGTCTAGAAGTTAACCTTAATCCGTGTTTGGTTAAGTTTAAAGTTGACCTTTCTGATATATCATTTTTGGTATACGCTTGATTGATCATCTTTGTCAGATGAAGTGCACTTATTCCAAGATCTTTCTGAAGAAGCAAATGAAAGGCCACAATGTTTGTGAGCCATAATACTCCAAAACCTTTTCAACTTTCTCACATTCTTCACATCCATCCCAGGGAAGGTGTTTTCCAAGACCGGTTTTGATTCTCTTGAAACCATTTTTCTCAATACTACTTACTTCAAGTTCAACAAGCTTCTTGTTAGCCAAAGAACTAATCCAAGCTAAACTTAGCTAATCCCTTTTGAAGCACCTAGCGGGTTTTCCAAGAAAGAGAGTTTTGTGAGGTTTAACTCAATCCAAATCTTTTCAAATAACATCACTCCCGCTATCATCTTATTTCTATAATCATCTTTCTTCTTTCGATTATATCATTCTCATCAAAAAGCTTTGCTCATGTTAAAGTTTTTTTTCGTGTGGGTCAGTAAGTCTCCCAATCTTTTTGGTAGCATCATTGTCTATACATTTTCTTCCCCTGCTGTTTTGGCTACAGGTTGAAAGTCTGGCTCCAATCGAGAACATTCGCTTAACAGATCAGATCTTAATGGACCCATGTCTTATTGATCGTGCCGCTCTACATGAAATTTTATAATCCTATTGATTTTATGATTGTAGAACTTGAAGGGACCATCTCAGCACTGATTGGGTACCGGCTCATAGATTGGGAACAATATGAGTATCAGATAGATTTCTCCCCCTTCTTCCTACTCCTAGAGATGTTCAGAGTATGGGGTAGGCTCCAGTAGACACCCTAGCTTAGAAAAGATGGCTCATCTCCTGCAATAGCCCGTATGATAGAAGATCAAATTGTGAAACCAGGGGATGACGTCATCTGCCTTAGTAGCTCAGTGGTAGAGCGTTTGCCTAGTATGTGTTGATTGTGCCAGCAAAAGGTCCAGTGTTCGACTCACTGTTGAGGCAGCTTGTCTTTTTTGTCCGCATCAACAATGCATCTATCCGTCCTCCGTGAAACATGAGCAGTGCAAGTTGAAAACCGGTCCGCGGATATAAGAGCTTCTTTTTGCTGAGAATGAAAGTGTGAAGATTTTTTCAAAGCTTATGATGCTACTCACTCAGGAGAAAAAGCGAGAGTGATCTGAAGATTGAAATGCATTCAATTGGCTTCGGTAGATGATAGCGAGAGATTGCATGTTATCAAATGCTGATGATGTGATATTTCTCATTACAATCACTCATCGGATCACGTTTACACCATTGAAAGATGATCTATGGGATTGAGAAAGATTGGAATCAGATGCTGAAGGTAAAATAAAAGAAGACAGTTACACATGTTAAAGACGAGATGGGAAGTAAGGGTGAATGAAATGATAACTGACATTGGAAGAACGGTGATTTCATTCCTGCAGGAACCCCTGTCAAAAAAAAGCTTCAGAAGTCTCACATTACAACAAGATGATGCGAAGTTGTTGTATACAAACAGGGTTCTCAACTGACTGCTCTTCGACTTCATATACGGGGATGAGAAGACACGTGAGATGTAAGCTTGTGGGTTATTTCGGATGTTTGAAAATACTTACAAGGATTGAAATAAGACGAGTAAATATAAACAGTTGAGCTCCGCGGATTTTGAGTTGAGCTTGTCAAGAAATAAATGGATTGGGGTTTGAGAAGAGATTTCAGTGAAGGTTGAATTGGTGTTGTAAGTTCAATTTCTCACTTCAGCAATCAGTTCATCTACCACCACTTTAGCCTTCTTCTTCAACTTTTGGTTTCTTTCAATCAGAGTAATATTCCAGCATGTGCCGGCATATAGGCTTAAACTGATGATCGGAGGCTACACGCTTCGAGGTCTTATTAATTTCAATTTATTCATCCCATTACCCGTAAAGTACATACATATGTAAGTGTGGTGGTTCTGGTTGATGAATCTGAGTTGATTGATAGAGTTCTATGATGATTTCCATGTGAAGTAATTATTCCTTGTCAGTCTGACTGAACTGTCTTACTTGATTTTCCACCATCCAGGTTGAACATCCCATTGTAAAATTCTCCTTGCTTCTTTCATTTGCCTGTTATTTAATCCTGATCAAACTCCTATACTTCTCTTGACCAAATCTTTTGAAACAACTTTTTTCTTAATAGTTATTCAGCTAATTGTAGTACGAAGTAGATTGATGTTGTGCCGAGAGGCGATTGTAGACAGGCATAGACCTTTACCACCTCTTCCGATGCCAACAAGTAGTTTTAGTTCAAATACTTCAGTACCACAGATCTTCTTTCATCTTGTTCCATTTGTTCCTTCTCCACCTGTTTGGTCTAAACCATTGATTGTTAGTCCACCGATAGCTCATAGTGCCAGTGGCAGTGGTGGTGTACGGGGTGGTAAGACTGGAAGTGCTGCGGAATTACTTAATCTGAGTGGTGGTGTTCGATCGGTTGACAGTCAGTTAACAGTCGATCGACTAATCAGTGACCAATTCGAACAGAACAATCAAGAAAATCAACCTTCAAACTCAACCAATCCAAACTCACTTCAACTCTCATCTCAAATTGTCATCAAAGCTCATCAAAAACCTTCAACTTACTATTCACTCAATAGGATTTCTCAACCATTTGGTGAAATTCAAAATCACTCAAACCTCAGAACAGCTCATCATCCAAATCAATTATCATTCAAGATGAACACTCATGTTCAAAGTCATAATCACACCTTAGGAACAAAACTATCAAACTCACCAAGAAGAAACTCAGAGAAAGTTTCACCGAGAGATTTAGCAGACGCAGTAGAAGCAGCAGCCGAAAGAGAAGTGATAGAAGAAACTGATGCATGGAATGATGTGAGCGATGAGGATGTAGAACAATTTTCAAAGCGAATCAATCGATTACCTTCATCTTCCGATCGATCCAACATCCATCCGACTCATCGAAAGATTTCTTCTTCTACTAGTCATCCTAGTTTATCGAGTCATAAAATCAACTCTAATGATCAGCTTTCATCTATACAGAGTGGAAGTGGACGTGGGATTTGGGATGTAGCTTCGACTCATAGTCCTGCTTCTTCTTCAACCAAAGCTCATTCAAGTTGGGCCACAAATACGATTCTCAGTCCAACTAATCACTCTCAATCTCCTCAAGCGTCTTCATCAACCAATGTCCCTCCCTGTAGCATTTCTCCTACAATTTCACCAACCTCTAACCTACCTAACTCAAACCATGATTCTAAGGATCCCATCACGACTCTTAAAGACGTTAAGGAAGCTCTACCAGAACTCACTACACCTATCCGGAAAGATTATGCTGAATTGATGCGAGGTGAGTAAAGTGAATTTCCCCCTGCTCAATCATACTTCGTTGGCTTCCAAGTTATAGACGGAATTTGAACTGAAAATCTTTTAAAGATCCAGCACATATACTTGATCAGCTCAAATCAGCTCACGAAACCCCAGTTGAAGCCATTGATCATCAACCGAAGCGAACCGGATCAATTCCACTTCCATGGGAAGCCATCATTCCAGCCGAAATTTTAGGCACAGGAAATCCCAATCTTCTCCCATCTAACATTTCACCATCCGATCAGGTGATTCATGAACCTATACCCAACCTATCAAAAACCTCTACCACTCCTAATACACCTCAACTCACTCAACCGATTCCAGAAGGAGAATGTTCAAGACAAAGAAAAGAAAAAAAGTTTTTAAAATGTTTAACTGAAAGTTCGATAGAAGTAGGTGAATTAAGAAAACTATCCTGGTCCGGGATCCCGGACAATTTAAGATCGATCGTATGGCAAATCTTATTAGGTTATTTACCTGCACCTGCCCAAAGAAGAGTCTCTGTCTTAGCTCGAAAACGTCAAGAGTATTCAGATGCGGTTAGATTAGCGTTTGGGAAAGGTTTAGATCAAACGATTTGGCATCAAATTCATATTGATGTCCCTAGAACCAATCCTGGTGTACCTCTTTGGCAATTTCCTGCTACACAAAGGGTAAGTGAAATGTTTGATCAACCAACAAAACCATCACACAAAATCAAAGATCGAAACTTGAATTTACTGAATTCTTTGTCCGTTTGTCGTTTTTCTTCTTACATTTTTAGAGTTTAGAACGGATTTTATACGTATGGGCTATTCGACATCCAGCCAGTGGATATGTTCAAGGCATCAATGATTTAGTGACCCCATTCTTTCAAGTGTTCTTATCATCCTATATCACCATCGATCCAGAAGAATTTGATGTATCTGATTTACCAGCTGAAGTTTTAGAAGCCATTGAAGCCGATTCGTTTTGGTGTTTATCTAAATTGTTAGATGGCATTCAAGATAATTACATCTTTGCTCAACCTGGCATTCAAAGATTAGTTGCACGAATGAAAGAGCTTTGTAAAAGGGTAGACGGTTTGTGGTCTTTTGTTTTTGCTTCGATCAGAGGAAAAACCGAATGAATGAATGAATGATTGATTGATTGATGAACTTGTTTGACCGGGTTTTGGATTTAGCTCCTTTACATCAACATCTTGAAAATGAAAAAGTCGAATTTATTCAATTTGCATTTAGATGGATTAATTGTTTATTAATGAGAGAATTGAGTACAAAGAAGATCATTAGAATGTGGGATACGTATCTTGTAAGTTTTTTTTTCTCCCCCCCATCATGATTCAAATCTATTTTCCTATTCTTGATCAAATCTTGTTGAGCTTTTTTTGATTTATTTTTTTCTTCTTTTCTTTGGGGGCTGGGTGGGTTTGCGGTTGGTTTTTTGATTTAGGCAGAAGGTACAACGGCTTTTTCTGAATTTCATTTGTATGTATGTGTGGCATTTTTGGTGAAATATTCGGAAAAGTTACAAGCTATGGATTTTCAGGTGAGTTTTTTGAAAAAATGGATTGAAAAGAGAAAATCGAAAAAAAAAGAAAGATTTAAATTTGATGACTATCCTTCGTGGGTTTTTTTTGATTTGATTTTTTGACGTTTTGTTATGGAATCTGGATGGATCCGATCTCTTTCTTCCTTTTTCTTTTTCTCCAAAACCTAAGTCAATTATTATTTTTTTACAATCTTTACCTACTGATGATTGGAATGAAAAAGATAGTGAATTATTACTTTCTCAAGCATTTATGTGGTATTCTTTATTTCAAGGTGCGACTGGACATTTTATTAGAAAATAATGGAAATTTTGGATTTTAAACGTATTCGATTTGTTAAAGTGGGCTTTTCTTTCAGTCTGGGGTTTTAATTTTGTATGTATTATATAGTGTTTTCTTTTAATGTGAATGATGAGTTGAGTTTGGGATTATTCTATGGGTTAATTCATTTGAAATCAATAGTTTTTTTTTTCCTCCTGGAGGTGAAGGGTGGTTTGTCTCTTTTTTTGATCATCATTTATTTTGGATGAATTTTCTTGACCGAAAATCTTACAAAAGAAAAAATAAACAAAGGAGGTTTTTTTCATTGAATCTACATGAAAGGGAAGAAGAAATGAAAGAAAAACCAAAGTTGAAGTGAATCCTTTTTGGATAATCAAATATGGTTTAGATTGTTCAAGATTCTTTATTGATTGAAAATTCAATATGATTTAGTTGAGTTAGAATTTAATTTGGGTTTCTTTTTTTACTAAATTTCTTTGAAAAACTAATGAACAGAAATGTATGATGAATGAAAGAAAAACAAAACAAATGATGAGTAGATAGATGATGAAAAAAGAGAAGGAGTAAATGATGAAAAAAGTGAATGAGTTTTTCATTTTTTTTCATTTAAAGGGGTGTTTAAAGAGAGTGTGGATAGAAAGAAAGAAAAAAGAGAACTTACTTTTGAATCTAATGAGATGATGATTGATTTAAAATTCATTAATTGTTTAAATTCGTTGGAATTTAAATGAGATTCTAAAGCTAATTTATTTTCATACCTAGAATTTGATTCACCAAGAAAAAAAAAACACCAAAAGAAAAACCAAATTGAATTTCAT